TTCATCCTCATCATCCCCACATTTGTTTATACCTTAATCAAACATCTAACATGAACTATTGTAAAAGACTGAGGACTGTTGACTCAGTCCCAAGTCTCTTTGGGCTGAGGGATTTACAAAAATGAGTAAAGCACACTTCTTATAATTCCAAAAGGGCTTAAAATCTAACAAATAAATACAACATGTTTATAAAATCTAGTGAGGATTCTCTCCCTTAAGAGAGAAGAGATTATATTTGTTAGGTGGGGGCTAGGTCACTCGCATATTATTTTTCTTTTCTTTTTAAAATATATTTTGTTGATTTTTTTTTTTTACAGAGAGGAAGGGAGAGGGATAGAGAGTTAGAAACATCAATGAGAGAGAAACATCGATCAGCCGCCTCCTGCACACCTCCCATTGGGGATGTGCCCGCAACCAGGTACATGCCCTTCACTGGAATTGAACCTGCGACCCTTGAGTCCGCAGGCTGACGCTCTAGCCACTGAGCCAAATCGGTTAGGGCTTATATTATTTTTCTACATTGGACTCTCATGTTACATTGTAATAGTGACTAGCATTTGTTGGGTATCATCTGTACCTAAGAAGAACTGGCATTTCGGAAGCATCAGGTTCAGAAAGGTCCATTGACCTTACCCAATGCCCTAAACTTCTAAAGTGTCAGACTAGGAATCCACCCGTTCATTTGTCTACGTAGCCTTACTTATTCCCCCACCCCCGTTACTTCAACATATGTTTTCCTTTGCCTTGAGCAAACATTCTGTGCTCCCACCTCTCCCTTCATTATAGTCCATTCGCTTACTTTCTAAAAGAAAGGCATACCCTCACTTATCTGGAATCTTCTATGGTGCACTGTCCCAAGGAGTGAAATCTCCTGACTGACCGTCAAAGGGACAATTCAAATGATTGGTTTTGGGGAAGCCCCCTTGAATAATTAGTCAAAGCACATAAAAACCTGCCTAACACTTGTTTTTTCTTATACAGATTTCTATTAATGGTAAGGTGTTGCTTTAGAACCAGGGTATTTTGGCCAGTGTTGTGATATTCTGAATTAAATTAGAATGGGCAATGGGGGTGACCATGCCTCTACCTTCATTAGACAACTATCAAAAAATGCAATGCACTTAAAAAATACTTTTTATTAATTTCAGAGAGGAAAAGAGAGGAAGACATAGAAACATCAATGATTAGAGAGTTATTGATCGGCTGCCTCCTGCACACTTCACACTGGGGGTCGTGCCTGAAACCCGGGCCTGTCCCCTGACTGGAATTGAACCGTGATCTCCTGGTTCATAGGTTGATGCTCAACCACTAGCAACACCAGATGGGCAATTATTTGTATATTTTTTTTAACTTGCTTACCTCTCCCATCCTATCTAATAAAAGAGAAACATGGTAATTAGCCATACAACCGCTACCCTTCCCATTGGCTAATCAGGGCGATATGCAAATTAACTGCCAGGCAAGATGGCGGCCGGCAGCCAGGCAGCTGGAAGCTAACATGAGGCTTGTTTGCTTCAGTGAGGGAGGACTCCAACATTCCCCGCCTGCCGCTGCCGGCCTCTGAGCTGCAACTCTAAGCAACTATGTTACAAATATAGAAGCTAAACAAAACCCCAGAAACCTGCTTTAGTCGCTGGGCTTCAGCCAGCAGGATCACAACATTGTTTCAAATAAAGAAGGTAAACAAAGGCCAGAAACCTGCTTTCAGCAGCGGAGGCCTAAAAGCTGGAGCCTCAGAGCTAAAGCTGGCCCAGAATAAAAAAAAAAGAAAAAAAGGAGCGGTTGGGAGCTTCAGTCACCCGCCAGCCAGAAAACGGCCCTCAGCCCCTCACCCAGACTGGCCAGGCACCCCAGTGGGGACCCCCACCCTGAAGGGGGTGTGACCAGCTGTAAACAGCCATCATCCCCTCACCCAGGCTGGCCAGGCACCCCAGTGGGGACCCCCACCCTGATCCAGGACACCCTTCAGGGCAAACCAGCTGGCCGTGCACCAGGCCTCTATCCTATATAGTAAAAGGGTAACATGCCTCCCAGCACCGGGATCAGCAGAGCTGCGAGGCCTCCCGGCACCGGGATCAGCGTGACAGGGGGCAGTGCCCAAACCCCCTGATCGCCCTGCGGCTCTGTTTGTGACAGGGGAAGGCGCCCCAACCCCCTGATCGCCCTGCGGCTCTGTGTCTGACAGGCTGCGGTGCCCCAACCCCCTGATCGGCCCTGCTCTGTGTGTGACAGGGTGCGGCACCCCAACCCCCCGTCCCCCCACGGGCCCTGCTCTGTGTGTGACAGGGTAAAGCCATAACCTCCCCATCGGCCCTACTCTATGAGTGACAGCGGGGAGCTCCTCAACCCCCTGATGGGCCCTGCTCTGTGTGTGACAGGGGGGAGCTCCCCAACCCCCTGATCGACCCTGCTCTGTGCGTGACAGGGTATGGAGCCCCAATGCCCCTGATGGGCCCCGCTCTGTGAGTGACAGGGGGCAGCGCCCCAACCCCCTGATTGGCCCTGCTCTGCGCGTGACAGGGGGTGGCGCCGCAACCTCCCCATCAACCCTGCCTTGAGTGTGACAGGGGGCGGTGCCCCAACCCCCCAATCAGCCCTACCCTGAGTGTGAATGAGGGTGGCATCGCAACCTCCCAATCCGCCCTGCTCTGTGCATGACAGGGGCGGCGCCCCAACTCCCCAATCGGCCCTGCTCTGAGCCCGACCAGGGGCTGCACCTAGGGATTGGGCCTGCCCTCTGCCACCCGGGAGCAGGCCTAAGCCAGCAGGTCGTTATCTCCCGAGGGGTCCCAGACTGCAAGAGGGTACAGGCCGCGCTGAGGGACCCCGCCTTGCCCCCGAGTGCACAAATTTTTGTGCACCGGGCCTCTAGTTAGAATATAAGCTCCTTGAGGGTAGTGTCTGTTTTTTTCAATCTCCTTCACTGTTTCCCTAACTCCTACCCTCGTGTTTTATAGGTTTTCAATAAATATTTCAAATGATCAATAAATGCAGGATCTGGAGGGTTAGAGATCTGGGAATTAGTTAACAGCTAGTAAAAGCAATAAAGGCATTATATGAGGTATGAAAGGAAGTGTGGATTTAAGGGTAGATTTGCCTGAGGAGCAATGGAGAGTGATATTGAGCCCACTGAAGACTTGAGTTCCAGCCTAAATAGGAAAAGGGCATCTGTGGAGTGAGGGGGTGGGGGGTCCCTCTGGCAGGTGGGGTCCTTCAGCCTGACTTGTGGGGATTGGGCTGAAACTGGCTCTCAGACATCCCCCGAGGGGTCCCAGAGTGCGAGAGGGCACTCTGCAAAGTTGCTGTCATACAAGGTGTGGAATGCAAATGCAAGTGTGCAGTAAACCAGATTTGGGCCAAGTTTTCCTATTTCCTGCTTTCTTTCCTTATACAGCTACTTTCTTTTGTTCATTTTTACTCCTGGCCCTGCATCCTCTTCTTTACTCCAAACTGGTTCAACTCAAATATAATTATTTCGTGGGGGAAGAAGGCAAGCTGAGTGAGGAGACAATAGTAAGTTAGTGAGGGGAGAGAGAGGTAGATTATGGGAGATATAAATATCTATACAGGCAGTCCTTGGGTTATGTCAGACTTGACATATGTCGTTTCGTGGTTACGTCACCATCTCCTATTTATTTATAAAAAAAAGTTCCGCCGAAACCAGTTTGGCTCAGTGGATAGAGCGTCGGCCTGCAGACTGAAGGGTCCCAGGTTCGATTCCGGTCAAGGGCATGTACCTGGGTTGTGGGCACATCCCCAGTGGGAGATGTGCAGGAGGCGGCTGATCGATGTTTCTCTCTCATCGATGTTTCTAGCTCTCTATCTCTCTCCCTTCCTCTCTGTAAAAAATCAATAAAAATATATTTAAAAAAAAAAAAAGTTCCATCATTTCGATGTATGTACATATGTGCTTTATGTTTTTTTATTATTTATTTACCACAAGTAAAGGTCAGGAATTGTTATCTTTTTTTAACATTTTTTTTTACTGTTTCATTTCATTACTGTTGTGTATGTGCTCCATGTGAGTGCCGTAGGTGCTTATGTAGGTGGGTTCCGACTTACAGTGAAAATCGCGTTACATCACGCCATAGGAACGGATTTCCGACGTAACCCAAGGACCTATTGTATATATAAAAGGCTAATATGCTAAGTGTCCTTCCCACCATCTGATCAGTCGCTATGACACACACTGACCACCAGGGGGCAGATGCTCAATGCACGAGCTGCCGCGATGCAGTGATCTGGCAGCAGTGGTTCTCAGGTGACGCACCCCGAAACCTGAGAGGAGGGAGCCCAATTCCTTGCAGGGCCCCCGTGATTTCACCTTTGGCTGTGGGATATGTTGTTGCTGGCCCGAATCTGGTTTACTGCACACTTGCATTTGCATTCCACACCCTGTATGACAGCAACTTTGTAGAGTGCCCTCTTGCACTCCGGGACCCCCTTGGGGGATGTCGGAAAGCCAGTTTCAGCACAATCCCCGCAGGCCAGGCCGAAGGACCCCACCTGCCAGAGGGACCCCACTCACTCCACAGATGCTCTTTGAGTCATGGTGTCACTCCAGGTGCGGTTGGCTGGACCGGGGAGGGATGGGGAGAGGGGGAGGTTGGCTTCGTCCCATCTCGCCCACTTCCGCCCCACGGGCCATCTTCCAATTAATTTTCTTTCAATGTGCACTAACATGCACCAGGTCACTAGTAGAATGACAAGTAAAGGAAGACAGTAAGTTCATTAAGCTACCTGTTCTAAAAATGCCACTAACCAAGTAAAATAATTGAAAATAAGACCACATGTAGGAGAGTGAGTCTTAAAGTCAATCAGCTGATTTTAAATCCCAGCTCCACCCATAATACTCTTATACCTTTGAGCACATTACTTAACCATAGGACCTCAGTTTCCTCTGAACCTGTCAGTACCTACCTCAAAGGGTTGTTCTCAGCATTAGTAAGACAATGCGTTTTATAAGCCTAGCACCATGACTGGCACAAGGTAAATGAACGTTCAGTTAACGTTAGCAGTTGTTTTTCTTTAAAATGAAGTACAGCAAGCAGGGGGAGACGACCTAAGTAGTAAATCCTTGTCATATGGCTGTAGTAACACCACACTCGAAAGAAGAGGATCCTTTTAAAGGAAGCAGAGAAGGATGTCCTGGCACTTAATTCTGGGCTCTGCAACACCTTGCCTGTGCATGGAACTCAGACTGTCACCGTACAGCGCCTCACAGCGGTGGTTCTTTCTATTTTAAAAAGAAAGTAAAGAGAAAATGCTTTTAGACATCTTTTCTGGGACAATTTCATTTCGTTCATTAGGGCCGCTCTAGACGACAGGTAGGGTCCTGCACCGAGAGAAGTGACCCTCGGGGTGCGGGCGGCGCTCCTCATAAGCGTGGGGAGCTGCTGCACGGGGACCCCGCCATTCCTGGACCCGTCCTAGGGGAGTCGCGGGGCTGCTTGGTGGCAGCGGCCTCACCTCTGGCCCCGGCCAGGTCTTCAGTGTCTCCAGTGTCTCCAGGACCGTATCCCAGGCCGGCGTCCCCACGTCGCGCCCAGTCCCGCGGGAAGCTCCGCCCTCCGCTGGCCGGCCCCCCACCAGCTCCTCCGCCCATTGGCCGCCCGGCGTTCGGAGGCCCGCCCCCAGATTTGAAAGCGTCTTCCGGGGGCGGGTGGGAAGCCTACTCCGCGAGACTGCGGCGCATCCCGGCGTCATTAAGAGCCCCGCTCACTCCCAGCATTCAGTGCGGTGCCCTGGCCGCCATCGTTTGAATTTGAAAACACGTTTCGCCGTGGCGCTCCCAGGTCGAGGGGGCCAGGCTGCGCTTCCTCGCCGGTGAGGCGCTGGCCCAGGTGAGGGTGCGAAGAAGGAGGGGGGGGCGCCCCCGCACACGCCAGGCCCGAGGCGGAGGAACGGCTCTGGCGATCTGAGCACCCGCTTAGGAGGCTCGGTACGCCCCTGAGCGGACGCTCGGGACCTGGGTGCGCGATGGAGGGTTGTGCCTGAGTATCAGGGTTTAAATTTCGTACCCCCCCGCCTTGTTAGCTGAATGACGCAGGGGAACGTCTTTAATCTTTCTGGGCCTCCGTCTCCTTACTTGCTAAGTGGGTGTAATAATAGTACCCGCCCTTCAGGTTCTTGTGAAGGTAAAGTGACATAGGTGAAGTTGTTAGAAACAGGGCCGGTATACAGTAGGCACTAAGTGTTTGCAGGCATTAATATTTTCATTGTTGCCGCTGTTGTCGAGAAATGGGCCTCTATTGCCAAACCCTTTTTCCTGGATCAGCGAGGTGAGCACTTTGCGTGGCATGTGACGAGCCCTCTTTGGCGGGGGGCAGGGGGGCCCTGTCGCAGTCCTCTCGGCACTTGTTTTCAGACCGTTGGGGGTGCCTGGGGCTTGTCCTTTTGGGCTTTGCGGTGCCGAGCGGAAGGGGGTGTGTGCGGTGAGTTGCAGTGATTGCTGCCTGTCATCCGCCAGGTTAGAAAGTTTCGGTTTCCCCCATCCCATTCTACCTCCTGCCCCCGAGATTCCTGCCTGTCGTAATTCTCTAATGATATTCCTGGCCGAAGGACTAGTTAACGGAGTTCCTGGCCTGAAGTTATTTATCCTTGCTTAAGGTGATCACATTCAGGTTTGTTTTTGTTTATAAAACAAGGCAGCTCCCCGGTGGCGTGGTTGAGCGTCGACCTGTGAGCCGGGAGGTCGCAGTTGGATTCCGGGTCTGGGTAGAAATTTTGAGGCTGGCACTTCATTGGGTTTTTGCACTAACGTGCCTGGCCTGCTATATGGATCAGTGGGCAGGGACCATATTTGATTCATTGATATATCACCTCTGGGTGCCCAGGACTGTTTTCCTGAGCCGGAACCACAGTTTGGGAGTCCCTGACCTGGATATTTCATAATGTTGTCAAAAGAACAGCAGGGAGCTCTCTTTTTACTCTGGTTTTATGCACCCAGTAGATTCTTGGTAAATGCTTGAATGTTAATATTTTTTTCAGTTAAGGTTATCCCCGATTATATTAGTGACTTGATGTTTCATTTAGTTGTAATAGTTTACTGACGCATGGAATGATGCATTGACTGATGTGTCCGGTACTGTTTTGAATATCTCCACATCCTTTATTTCCATTTTCGTTTGCATCATTTGGAAGAATTCAGTTGAAACGAATTGTCCAGGTAACTAAGTTGAACGCCTAAATGCCAAAACGTTACAAAGTCTGTAAGTAACATTCTTTAGAAGACACTAAATAACTAAAATAACTCAAGGTTCTAATTTACACCACCCTTACTATTTGATTTCTGAGAGGGTTTCAGGCAGAAATAGAAATGTTTTATATTGTCTGACCTTTACTAATGAAATCTCCTTGGATGAATTTATCCATAGGTGGATCATATGAATAATAGTTGAAGGCTGTTGTATTTGATTCAGAATCTGTAAGTAATTTGGTCTTTTGTCTTTTCCCTGGGTCTTCATGTTATAGAGCAGTGGTGGGAAACCTTTTTTCTGCCAAAGGCTATTTGGATATTTACAACATCATTGGAGGGCCATCCAAAATTATCAGCTTAAAAATAAGCCTGCTATATTTGGTCAAACACTTAATTAACTCACTCCTAGTACCTTGGCAGAGCAGACCAGATGATTTCAGGGGCCTTTTATGGCCTGCAGGCTGGACGATCCCCACCCCTGTTATAGATGAAGCGTTTAATGTTTTCCTTCTCTGGAAATGTAGTTATATGGGGGAAGTATGGCTGGACTCAGACTTTTTAAACTCCATAGTCTTAAATGGTGCTTTATTACAGATGCCTAAAGAAGTTGTTATTCTTGCAGAATGGAATCTAATGTAAATAAGGATGGGGTGCCTAGACCATCTTATGTTTTTAGTGCTGACCCAATTGCAAGGCCTTCGGAAATAAATGTTGAAAGCATTAAGTTGGATCTCTCTCGTGAATTTTCCTTAGCTGCTTCAAGCACTGAGGTAAGTATAAGAAAAATATTATGTTTTCATAATTGAGTGGAAATATATGTGGTGCACACAAACTTGCAAACAGGTACGGCTAGAGCAGACGTTGTGGTTTAGGGCAACCTTTTAAAGAGGACCAAAGTTTTGCCATCTTAAGATGAGCCTTTTGGGATATTGATTTTAAGTTGGTTATTAAAAAACAATGACTCAGAAAGAATCTTGAACCTCCCCCTTTCTTGCCTAAGGTAATTTGGATGGAAAGGCCTGCTTCAGGAGGGGAATCCTAGCAAGTTTACCTTAAGGATTTTCACCTTAGCCTAATTTGAATTAAGTATGGTGGATAGGAAAGATCCAAGCTAGACCCCTTCCATGTTTCTGGGTTACTTGGCAGGTATTTGTTTGCTTGATTCCCCTTCAAAATCCCTGCCCCCTACCCTTTTCTTCTTTTTCTTTCTTTCTTTTCTTTTTTTTTTTTTTTTTTATATTTTATTGATTTTTTACAGAGAGGAAGGGAGAGAGATAGAGAGTTAGAAACATTCTTTTTCCATGATGGCATATAAGCTTGAATTGCCCAGTGCCTCTTTGGGGTTTTCATATTATTATGGACCTTTAAATGTATATACGTATAATAGGCTTTGGACAGTTTCACCTGTCAGTCTGCCTCTGTTAATTTGATTTTTAGCCCAGCTAGGTGGGAAGAAAATTATTTTTTTTAGCCCTCACATTTCTTATCTCAGTAATTTTTTCACAATGCCTTAAATATAGAACAGTTACTTTTCAAGTAATAGGTCCACTATGCCCCTAGGAATTGCAGGCCTTACTTTAAAAAAAATTACAGGTTTTTAAAAGTTAAAATAATTCAGTAGTGTTTAAAAAATAGAAGTCCTACTTACTACCACTGTAATGTTTGCTTTGTGTCTTTGTAGACTTTTTGAGTCAGTCCATTTATATTCTGTTTGTTACCTTTCCGACTGTTAATTTTGATGCTTTAGAGAGATGTACTAACCCGTTCTGGGTGGCATGGGTATAGACTATCAAGAATAATGGAAGGGAAAGGGGCACATAGGAACATAGATAAAAGAACAATGCTTATTTAATACTATCATGTGTCAGGGTCTTTCACTTTGACTCATCCTATATAATAAAAGGCTAATGTGCAAATTGACCGAAGGACAGAATGACTGGTTGCTATGATGCACACTGACCACCAAGGGGCAGACGCTCAATGCAGGAGCTGTCCCCTGGTGGTCAGTGAGCTCCCACAGGGGGGGCCCTGCTCAGCCAGAAGGATGTCTGACTGCCAGCTTAGGCCCAACATCCCCTGAGGGCTCCCGGACTTGGAGAGGGCGCAGGCCAGGCTGAGAGACCCCCCCCTCTCCCCAGTGCCTGAATTTAATGCACCGTGCCTCTAGTTTAATCATAAAGAAAGAAAGGAGAAAAGGTAAGAAGGGACACATGTTTCTTGGTTTATAATGAAATCATACATTATGTAGTCTTTTGTGTTGCCTTTTACTTAACACAAGGGTCAATAAATAATAGCCTTTTCTTGTGTGTGTATTGCCTGTATTTGTAGTACTCACAAGCTAAGGATGGTTTTTACACCTTTAAATGGTTGAAGAAAAATCACAAAAAGAATGTTTTCTTATGTGAAAATTATGTGAAATTTAAATATCACTATCTATAAATAAATAGCCATACTCATTTATTTATTTATTTTCTAGGTCTGTTTTGCACTATAGTAGCAGAGTCGAGTAGTTGTGGTGATCATAATAGGGCCTGTAGAGCCTAAAATGTTAACTGTCTGGCTCATTACTGACCCCTCACTTAGCATGGTGTGTTTGAGACTCATCATGCATCATGTATCAGTAACTTGTTAGTTTTTATTGCTAAGTAGTAGTCCATTGTGCAGATATGCCACATATCTTTCCATTTACAATTTGATGCACTTTGGATGGTTTCCAGTTGGGGCCCTTACAAATAATGCTGCTGTGAACATTCATGTGGAAGCCTTTCTGTGAACTTATGCTTTCTTTTCTTTTGGTTAAATACTTAGGAATATAAGTACATATTTAACTTCATAAGAAAGTGCTAAATTGTTTTCCAAAGTGGCTCTACCAGTAGCAGCAGTGCAGGTCTCAGCTTCTCCAACTTCTTTGCCATCTCTTGGTAATTTAAAAAAAAATACATTTTTATTGATTTCAGAGAGGGAGGGAGATATAAACATCAATAGTGAGAACCATTGATTGGCTGCCTCCTGCAAGGCCCCTACTGGGGATGGAGCCTGCAACCTGGGCATGTGCCCCAATCAGGAATCGAACTGTGAACTCCTGGTTCATAGATCGATGCTCAACCACTGAGCCACACCAGCAGGGCAACGCTTGGTAATTTTGTGAGTGTGTAATAGTACTTTTTATGGTTCTATTTTGCATTTCCCTAATGAGCACTTTTCAAGTAATTGTTGGTCATCTCTGTACCTTCTTTTGCAAAATGTTTCTTCAAGTCATTTCCACATTTAAAAATTAGGTTGTTTGTCTTATATCTGAGAGAATTTTATATATATACTAGAGGCCCGGTGCACAAAAATTTGTGCACGGGGGAGCGG